TGCAGCTGATTTACTTTTAGAGTCAACTAATTTCAAGATGGATGCCACAGCTAATCATCAATAGCCAGCACAAAAATGGTTGTAACTCAGTCCATTCTAACAGATATTGTGCTAAATGTTGAATTGGTAGTATTTGAGTCACTCACAACGCACACTCTGAGCACAACAACTTGGAATATCTCATGAGATTGAGCATTTTTGTCAAAGTTTGAGCAAAAAATGCTGAACCTTCTCTCAAACAGAGGCACGAAAGGACTGCAGGCGATATGCATTTCTTCCAGGAATGCAACGTCTATATTTATTTTGGCTCAGCAGAGCACAGCGCTGCACAAACAATTATTTGCATCCACGGATTCTGACCAGGACTGGTTCCTCTGTGAAGCCAGTCTGCCATAATAGCAGCTGCTAATAAACGGTTTCTTTTCCACCTGCCTGTGCTGAAGCTTCCTGTGTTGATGATATGTATACGGCTCGGTGGGGTGGAGATGACAATGTAGGTGTGGAGGAAGTCAAATGCAGGTGTTTGTGTGATCGTGTGTGTGTCAACCCAGGTGGGTGCTGACAGACCGGCAGGTAAACAGGTAGGTTGGTCTCTGATCTCACCTGTTGAAGCAGACCAGCAGGGCTTTCACGGCAGAAACATGTTCTTTAGTTGGTGCTTGAGGGCCAGGCAAGGCGTGCACTCTTTTTTTTTTCCCTGCATGTTTTATGCAGTTCAATTGTCCAACGCTCCTCTCCCAGGTGCACTCGAGTAAACACCCAGGAAACGAACTGTATAAGAAAGAAGGAGTCGGAGAGGGACTGGGGGGTTCAGGAGTGGAGCAGGAAGAACGCCCCGGGGTAACAGCAGCGCAGGTGGGCTTGGGGGTGGAAGGTGACGACAGTGTGTGTGTGTGTGTGTGTGTGAGACAGGAACATTTTGTGTGTTCTCTGAATTTATAAACTGGTGCTTTGCAAGGAAAGGAATGTGACAGATCCAGATTATAACAGACCACCCCCATAAACTCAGGAAGTCAGTTTAACCTGCGAGGCAAACACACACACACACACACAAAGAGCAGCTGTGGAGTTGGAGCTCTCATATGAGGTGACCAGGTGAGCAGTTCAGCTCTCGTGTTACAGCGTCCAGAGGAAGTCTGCAGATTATCTCCTGTTTCTTATGTAATGTTTTATTTCTGTTTAAGGTCACTTGGTTTCATTTGGCCTTTAGGAACCCCAATGTGTTTTATGGTGAGCGGCTCATTCGGCCACAGGAAGGGCAACTTCAGGAAGCTGGAGTGATAAAGTCGAGCAATCGTTGTTTTTCTACAGAGTAAATCACACTGCCTGACATTCATACACTACTATACTGTATGTCTATACTACTATATATTCTATAATACACCTTATAGTGGCTAAAATTGCAATATTTTTTATGCTTTTCAAATAAGTAGCCAAAATTTCTCGATCAATTGTTCACCTGCCTTTCTAATTTTATTTAAATTTAATTTACTTTTTTCGACTTTGGCTTCGGTTTTTACATCTAACCATGACAATAAATTGTCCAGCGACTGTTGAGAAAAACTGCTGGTAACAAAGTGCCAAAGGATTGATTTAAAATGTTTCTTTGCTGTTGGTTGTGAGTCGACACATCTTTGATTCAACTTTTTTGTGTTTGGGAGATTAGGTTTGGAGGAAAAATCCACTGGCCAAATTAGGAAGCTTAAAAAAACTTTAAAAAAAAAAAAAAAAAAAAGGACCAACCCTAAAAAAAAAAGTTGATAAACTTGAACAGTACTAGAAAAAGATAAGAAACTTTATAAAGACCTTCAGAAAGCCTAACAACTACTGAGCCAGACTATTTATTTTTTATTATTATAAAAAATAAAAAATAAAAGCCAGGCTCCTTAACAAAATGCACGTGGGATGACACCAAATTTTTGTACAGTATTGTACATTTTTGTTCAGAAATGTATTATACATGTGCACCAGTACTGAGTTTTAGTCTTTTTTTTATTAATTCAGTTTAAATGGAGTTGTCAAATGAAAATCTGTAAACAATGAATTTTATTTATTCTCTAATATCTCCTTGATTGTGTAGTCAATCTAAAAGTATATATACACATATATATTACTTAACCTATTTCTTTAGCATTTATTGTATTTTTATCACTGCATTATAAGTATCTACAACTAATATTATATCCTAAAAAATTAGGTTTACAAATGCTTATTGTGTTTAGAAGTTTGTAACTTAAGTCTGAAATGTTCAATATACTATACTCTAGATGAAATATATGTGAACAGATTTGTCTATTTGGTAAGAAACTGGCCAGTTTTGTCTGCACTCTTAATTAATGCATAATAAACAATTAATAAGGATTCATAAAGTGTTTATAGAGGAATAAATAACTTATCTATAAACCATTTACTAGCCTATCTATAAGGGGAGCCTCATTGTAAAGCGGTACCTATATATCTTACAGAAGTATGTGTGTTTGTATGTGTTTGAAAACTATACACTCGCACAAAAACAACACAATAGCCAAGTATATTTAACAATATATATATTTCCATTGTCAATGTACATTCCATTTCAACATTAGCTTTCTTCACAAACAAAAGGTTGTCATCTAAATAAATACTATATAAAATAGAACTTCAAAATAAATATATCTATAAAGGGATACTTTTATATGAGATTTTTTTGTCTTTTTGTAAATCTAAACATAAAAAGCACAGATCCTTGTTTCGCAATCCCCAACAATGACATTGCAAACGTGTAAAGGAATGGAGTAGCAAGTATACGAAACCTTTGCTCTTGATTGGAAAACTAAAAATAATAATAATAATCCAATTGATGTGTCAAAAAGTCACAGCAGTGGCAGAAAATAAAACAAAAAATGATTTCAGTTGTTGCTGATTATTCCACACCAACAACAAGCTAGCGAGCGGTCATATTACAAAGCTGACGTAAAGCGAAGAGCCTTATTTTTGCTGTGTTGGAAAATAAAAAAAGGCAGCGATTGTTGGAAAGATGGGAGCTTACTGGTGATGAACACGGTATCTGATCACAAATTTAAAGAAAAAAATGTTGCAAGACAAGAGGAGAGAGCTTGTGTCTCCAGTTTCTGTGGGAGGAAAAGTTTACGAACAGCAGCTGTGTTTGAGAATCAAGTCAGACCAGGGGTGTTTGTTGGACTACTCCTTTTTTTACAGGAAGGAAGGATGAAGGAGAGGAAGGAAGAAAAGCAAGAAGGAGAAAAGGAGCTGGGACACTGAGCAGTAACAGCAGGAAATGGGTTGACTGTGTTCCTTGTGTGGATTCAATAATAGTCTTTAGGACTCGTTGAGGGAGTTAGCTTAGCCCCTCGACTGCTAATGAGCCATGGCTAGCATAAACAGATTTCTTTCTCGTTCTTCTACTTTATTGCCGGGCACACTTTTCAAAATCAAGTGCAAGTGATAAAAAGTCCTGTCATTTTTATTTCTCGAACCCTAATCCCACCACGCTCCTTTTATTTTAAACGTTGGAACCTAAAAAAAAAAAAACATTTTATTCTTAACCTCAAAATATATATCTAATATATTCTCTATATATTTTGTACTGAATTGTAGTAATAATGTACCATGCAATCTTTTCAGGACATTTAAAAGTCTCTTCTAAGGAACACAAATGTTGTGAAACTATTTACAGCAAATAACATTTCACCTGCATAGCTCTAATACTAAAGATATCGTCAAAACGTTTGTGATTTCCACTAGGCCTCTGCTTATTCGTCCTCCGTTTTGGCACCTGTCTCTCATTGAGTTATAAAGGTTTTTGAAATATTGCCTCGTACATTCACACTAAAACCTGTGCGTTTTTTCTTCATCGTTCCCTTTGCTTCCTGCTTTGAGATCACCTTTGTGCAACAAGACGAATACAAGTTCGAGCAAGGTTAGGCACCCAAATGGAAGATGAGGGTTCAACTTGAAAGAGAGCCATATTAAGAGAGCAACAAAGCCAATATGCCTTGATGTCAAACAGGAACAACCGTCTGGATTAAAGGGCTGCACACCTTCATCAACTCCATGTGGCATGAGGGCATACCAGCTGTGATCAGACTAAGACATGCTACTGTATTATAGCTTCCTTTGGCAAAACTAAGAACGTCATGCGAGCCACAAAAATAGACTCCCAAGAATAAAAGGCTATCTGACTTACAGCTATGCAGCATACTGATTTGAATTTCATGAAGACACTGATGTGTGTAGAGGTGGGTGGGGCGCTGTGGTCTAAGTGTAATGTAGGCCACTGCATTATAGGATAGCTGAGGTGGTTAATACTGTGCTTTAGTACTTCCATTGAGGGGTTCCTATAAAGGTTGTGCAAGTGGCAGGTTGGCTATTGACGAAGGCTGACTGGATATGGACACCACAGGAGCTCTGCTAAGCTTGTTCCTCTGAAAATGTTGTTTCCTGCCCCACTCTCACTTGTCTTTCTCATTTTAAATTATTAATGATTGCCTTGTTTTCTTTTGCCCCTAAACGTTTCTTTGCTTTTCTGTGCAAAGAGGAAGAAGACCAGGCTCTTAGGCAGTGTAGAAATCAACATGCGGCGAGCCGAGTTGTAGAGAAGATAAACGTAACAATCCCTGAGAAGGTTGGGTGTACTTTTTCTTTTTCTTTTTTTGTTTTAACACATTTCTCTACTACAAATCCACTTCTAGCACGGTGGGGTTACCATTATACTAGAGCATGCAGATTGTGACATGCATTACATCTGACGTGATTGGTGAACAGCATTCAAAGTATTTCAGAATGTCTAAGCAGCCTTACCACCCAAAAATAGAAAAAGCACTGCATAGTGATTATCTTTCACTTTGCAGCACAACTGCTTACGCATGACACAGAGTGAAAATTACGGGGAGATTACTGTTGTTTTACTGCCTAACAGCTCCGTTATGAGATAAAATATTAGCAAGCTAGCATCTTTTAGAGGAAAAACTGGCAACATTAGAAGATGATAATCATCACTGTCTATCATAAAGCCACAGTATTTTCTCATTAACTACCGGTAGTTATATTCTTGCTTGACACCGCGCTGTGCTTTTGGGGAGATGGGTGGGATTAAATACCTTTTTTTTTTTTCAAATCTCCACCAATGATTGTGAAGTTAGTATTATCAACCAGTTTCTGGTTAGTTAGTGATTCAAAATTACTTGGAAAAGCAATGAGCAGCAGAGAGGTACATTGACTTTGTGCCTTCAGCCATGTTTGCAAATCACAAAAAAAAAAAGTCCCACAATTCTAGTCTCTTCTCCTTGTCACTCTTACCAAACATAAAAATATAATTAAACACATCTCAGAGGGCCCGTTAGCTATTCCTACTAGCTTCCTCTGTCAGCTGACCCATTTTGATCATCCACACTATTAAACATATGTCAAGAAGCCATATAAGTACCGTTGTTTTACGTAAATCATCTTCCAGCAGATTAATGGGCTAGTTTAATGGGTTGGTGTTGGATTGTCCAGTCCATTGAGAGTGAGTAAGCACTGTGTGGTCCTCTCCACATTCTAGCTAGGCCACAGCCATACAGTTTGGTCTACTATCATGACCCCTGCTGCTTCTTCTCTGTCCCAACTTTTGCTTCAACACCCGCAGTTTTACTAACAGGGACACTAATGCCACCCTGTAAGTTCTTGCAGCGGCAGCCGGGCCTGCTAACATTGTCATAACATTTCTGTCCTAGTTTGGCCAGACCCACGGCTGGTAGATAGCAGATGAGGCATGGTAGGACCATGGAGAGGGCGGCCATGAAGGACCAGCGTGCACAGCAGTTAGCCTGGGAACACGAGCAGGGCTTGTCAGCGCAGGAACCTTCGTCGTCCTCGTCTTCGGCGCAGTGGTAGAAGATCCCTTTGACCAGGCACATGCAGGTGGCCGTGTCCACCAGGCTCTGTGCAGAGCACAGGCACTCCTGGTTACAGACCCAGCAAGAGGGTAAGGTTCGGGGGAGTGTACACTCCGTGCATCGACACTTCCCGCAGCGCTCACAGAGAAACATGTGCTTCTTCTCAGTTGGGGAGGAAGGGATCAACGCCAACCCTTGCTGACCCCCGCTGGAGCACACCCCTCCAGCAGCAATCTTTGCAGACTTGAGGTCTAGTGATTTTGAGGAAGAGGAGCAGGAAGAAGCAGAGGAAGAAGTAGTGAGGACTTTAGATCCGGAGGAAGAGAGGCACCCAGGAGTTCGGGTAGTGATTGCATTGATGGGGCCCTGGTGATGGTGGTGGTCCACTGTTGGCACGGGCGCAGCGTGGTCCAGCAGCCTCTGATCAGACGACGTGCTGCTGCTGCTGCTTATGGAGCTGGGCCTTCCGCTGAAGGAAATCCAAGGGTGGGTGGTGGTGTCCTGGTGAGCATGAGGCTCACACCTGCCCTGCTGCTGGGGCTGATGTTGATGATTGTGGTGATGGTTGTGGTTTGCCCCGAGGAACACCTCCTGATTTTGACCCAGCCAGGTGATCCTTCGGTTTGAAGACTTCTGGCTCAGAGGCTGCTGAGCAACAACAGCCGGGCTGTCGATGTAATCGTTCTCCACGTGCGAAGACTTTATCTGGTCTATGGGGTAGATTGTGACCGGATGTTGAAGACGACCGTAGGGCACTCGACTGTCCAGCAGGGGTTGGGATATGATGGAGGAGGACACTCCGGGTATGTGGTGGGGAACCCTGGACTCCATGTGTTGGCTGGTGCCTCGCACGTCCTCACTCTAAAGTGGCATTTAGCAAAACTGTAAAAATAGAAACAGACATAATTATTATGACTCGCTGCATTTTCTCTGTACAAAAACAACCTTCACCCTCGAAAACTGAGATCATAGTTCAACTCTGCATATTTCAAGTGAAAAATATATAGATATTGTTTTTTACCACCCACGACAACTTTCAAATCTTTCAACGCAACAAATCCTAGTTGTCCAAGCTAAAGTTTTGCAATTACTTTAAAGCTTCAAACTGCAGGGATTTCAAGACTAAGCAGCAGCAGAGGGGTGTTCAGTCTGAACCTGCTTCATTCTATTTGAACATTAGAACAACAGAAAAACTCATCGCCTCCCCCGTCTAAAGAGCAGGGAGCACCACGGAGCAGGGCTTGCATGCAAAAACACTTCCAAGATGCAAAACAAGGCAGAGGGAAGGCCGGGTGAAAAGAGTCAATGAAGACAAGAGGCAAAGGGAATTGGGTCATGCAGCACTGCTGAACAAGTTAAACTTTCTGTCGTGCAACTCACCACCTACAAGCGAACACAAATCTGAATCAGAGGCCTTGAATTTGTGAATGGGGCCCGATTTTGTGAACCGCAGCTGTTTGTGAATGGCTGCTCTCAGGCAGGAATCAGTGCGCTCCAGTTATTGTGCTCAATGAAATCGCGCGCATGTATTTCTTCAATGAGTGCTCGACAGCAGGTAGACCCCCACAGACGAGGAGAAAAAAATAAACTTCCAGCATGCAAAGCAAATAATGATGAAATCTGTTTAAGACTCATTTAAATCGAAAATACACACTTTGCTCCTGGTATTCCCCCCCACTCACCCCCACCCCACCCCCCCTCACACACACACACACACACACACACACACACAATCTGGAGGAGAGAAAAACAAGCCTAGTTGAGAAACCTGTTGCGAAATTGCTGGCACGGACAAGAGCGCCTGTGATCGTCAAAATCTAGACCATTATGAGCTTGGAGCCGGAACTAAGCGTGCGCAAATTTGTGCGCGCGCGCGTCCCTCCGGTAAGTGAATGGACTGAGTCATAGGAACCGGAGACAGCCGCTCGACATACTCAAATAGAAGGTTTGCATAGGTGGAACAAAAATAGGTGGAGGGTTTTGGAGGAAGCGGAACACCGCGTGCCACGGGACGCACAGCTGCGGGGGCGCTTCTTGCGCGTAATAATCCAAAACAATCCGATTAGAGTAAATAAAATCCATTCTTTTATATGTTAAACAAGTAAAGTGGAGCGTGAGGCAAGCAGGAAGGAAGGACACGCGCGTACACACACACTTTGGACTATGGTGCTGCTCAGTTCGGGACGGAATCGAAACCGAATCAGCTCCGCTGCTCATCGATTTGACAGGATCTGGAGGAGACGTCACGGGAATCGCGACGCGGCGGATGGAGAAGTGCGTGCGAGCTGCTCGCGACGACACCGCTCCATTTCTTTGCGTCTCAAACCCACGATTTGGCTTCAGTCGAGCTCGCGCAGGAGCGTGCTTGTCTCAGCGGGTCGAGGAGGAAATGGTTGAAACGTGCGGGTTTGCGCGCACGACTTCTAAGCATGTCAAATAATAATAATAAAAAAAAAAAAAAAAAAGCAGAGGAGACTTACTGTGGTTTCAGGATGCAATTCTCATCTCCCCGTTGCGCACGTACGTTTGGCGCGCGCGCGCGGCTGTAATATTCCAGCGAGAAGCTCCAGAGGCGGAAAGACAAATCCAAATGTTACTGAGCTTTAGATGAAAGCAGAGTTGGACCTCCAGCTCTTCTTCTTCTTCTCCTCCTCCTCTCGCTGGTGCATTATAGGCGACTGCGGTTGAGGACGCGGAGCAGTGGATTTGATGTTGCAACCACCGAGGGGGAGGGAAGAGCGTTTTTATGAATGGGAGGGTGGGAGGAGAGGAAGGGGGACGGCGCTGCGCAGATGCCTCCGCTTCTTCTTCTTCTTCCTCTTTTTTTTTTTTTTTTTTGTCTTCTGCTGTTTTTTTCTGAATGGGAGGGAAGAGCTGACCGGGGAGGGCTGAGTAAATGCGGAGGATACGTTTTTATGAATGGGGAGGACACCGAATCGCATTGCGCATGCGCTGTGCCGTGATTCTTTTTTTTATTTTTTATGAATGGGAAACAGGCGTTTTGAGTGTTTGAAAAGGAGTGGGCTTTTTCTACTCACAGGCTCGATTCGCCTCATGTGGCTGCTGAAAAATTCCTATAAATCCTACATGATTTTTATTTTATTTATTTATTTATTTTTTATCAAGGTCAGGAAACAGTGTTTTTACACGAGTCTTCATTTGTCTGTCGTGTTAGCAAAATGACGCAGTAGGCATATTTGAATGGAGCTCTTTGAACTTGATCATTAGAACATGTACAACTCTTTTTGGTCATTCCCATTCAAGATGTCCGCAATATTAGTCAACACATATAGCTATATAACTTAGCCAATTTAAAATATATTCAGCTCATATTTGGTGTGGTAGTAGCCGAGACTCATCTCTAACACATACTATAAACAGCAGCTGATCGAGTGAGTTCTGTTTCTATCGTCCGTTAGCTAAAAACGTTCACAGACCACGGGGTGGATTTAATTGGATCTTGCACAAAACAGTCAGTATGAACATTAGCCACATCAATTTTTGAGGCAACCAAATTCAAGATGGTCGCCTGCAGCAACTGAACTAACAAAACACAAACAATAGCTGTAACTCTGTCAGTTGAATGGATATTGAGATTAAATCTTGTGTAGTAGTGAAGAGTCGCCCTCTCAACACATATTCTGAGCACTTGAGCACTCTCCATTGCTTAACATCTTTGCTTTAAACATTGCCAGTAATTGTAATAGTCAACACCTGTCTGTTAGCAAAATATCTCATGAACCACTGCACTGATTTTTATGAAATCCGCAGAGAGCATCCAATAAATGTACCTCTATAAATGATTCAAATTTGGAGTCACCTCAGTTCAAGATGGCCGTTGCAGTTAATCCATGTCAGCTTTTGCAAAAATGACTATAACTCAACAAACATTACAGTTTGAAATTGGGTACGGCAGCTGAGAATCATCATCAGCACATACTTTATTCATTGCTCAACATCTTTACTTCAAATGTTGTCACTATTTGTTACAGCCAGCACTGTCTGCCTGTTAGCAAAATATCTCATAAACTATTAGATGACACTTTAAGAAACTGATCATTGAATGCACATCAGTAGGAGACAAACCAATTCAAAGAGGCAGCTACTGCAGATATATATTTGCAAGCACATACATTTCTACACTTTCCTCAAAATCACAGGAACTGTTATGTAGAGTCATTCTCAACAAGATGAAGATGACAATGACGATGCAGCGGCCATCTTAAATAAAAAGTCAGTCAATAAAGGTGACAGGTGATACGCACTTCATCAAGGAATTCAAGGTGTTTAATGATGAATTTGTTCATATTTGAAAGTTTGATGTTGATTCTCTGGACATTTTTCACAAAGACCAAATGGGGACCCAGACTCAAAACAGCTGAATAAACACAAAAAGAGAGGACCCTTGAAGGTTAAGGTTCGTTTTAATTAAAGAAGTCTTGGTGAGGACGTGAAGATGCCCGAGGTCACGTGATGGCTGAGCTGGATCAGGCTCAATAATAAAAATGGCCGCTCACCTTGTGGACCTGACTTATCTTGTCTTTCCTTCCTCTCCGACAATGAGGTATGAATACAGTTTACAAGGTAATGTAAAAAAAAAAAAAAAGTGTGTGTGTGTGTGTGTGTGTGTGTGTGTGTGTGTGTGTGTGTGTGTGTGGGTGTGTAAGTGTGGTGGGGGGTGGGGGTTATAACGCCTACTCTGAAACCAGCATGAGGGCAGGCAGGATTCACAAAAGGACAGGATGTTGTTGATTTGTACCGAAACCACACGGAGGAAATGAGTGTGAATTTCCTTTCTCTCATTGTGTGTGTGTGTGTGTGCGTGTGTCTGTGTGTGTGTGTCTACCATGAACCCCCCCTCCCCCTCACTCACTCAGCTTGGGGCTTTTAACCAGTCAAAGGTTAACAGTTGCCCCATTATCCTTTTGCACGCATCACCATGGCAACCACTACACCTCCAAATTGGGATTATTGTTTTGAAACAATGCCTGCAAAGAAACCAGGAAAAAAAAAAAAATATATATATATATATATATTAGTTTTTTAATTTGAGTTTGTGTTTGGATGGACTGACATGTTGCAGTTAAAGCATCTGAAAGTCGATGCCAGCAGTCAGAACGAAACGTTACATTTTATTGAAAAGAGTTTAGACGAGACAACTTTATGTTTCCTTTTGTTTAAATTTGGACAAAATGTCTGCAGTAAAACTGACCCATTTAAAACTTATTCTAAACTAACCACCTTTTTTGTTATTAAGTCCTAAAACAATTTGTTCTCCAATTGGCCACAAATTCTTTATTAATTTACTAACCTGTTATGATTAAAAGTGCTATTTCCTGACAATGCGGTGATTTGTTTTTCGTAAAACATAGCGACAAATACAAACTGTGGATCACAAAATAAGACTTCAGAAAAAAGAACAATAAGAGAAAACAAGTTTTAGACTAAATTTATTTAAGCAGACATTAAATTGTGACTGACTGTGACCAAAATATCTCACAAACCACAAAACAGATTTTACTGAACCTGATGCATGTAAAAAAATCTTATACATGTACTTGAACATCTACAACTGATTTGCTTTTGCAGCCAACCTGATTCAAGATCACTGACCTAAAATTAGGGATTGTTGTAGCTGAATGACACTAAATGGAACACAACATAATCACTGAATGTATATCTACAAATAAAAACTCTTGGAATCAATCCAGTTTAATATGGTGCCACATTTAATCCACATTATCCAACACAAAAATGGCTGATTCAGTTATTTTATAGATTCTAAGCTAAAGCGTGGTGTGGTGTTAGCTGAGAGTCGTTAACAAGTGTAATATGAGTTACACAAAGACTGTGCTCCATCCCATCAACACAAGTTTGAACCTCTGGCATGAAGAGCTGATGTTATGCATAAATTCAAGCAATGCAAGGCCTTTAATTGTGTGAATGATTATGAAACATTCACAATAACGTGACCCATTTTTCTTCCGTACATTATTGGCGAGATTCTCGTCCCCCAAGTTTGAAGCTATTTCAACAGATCATATGTCAAAACATTCAGCTCTTTCAGGAGAAGGGTGCTAGGACATTTTTGTGCTTCTTCTAACTTCCTTCTGCTAATTTCAGCTTCTTATGCACCTTTCAGCTTATTTCTGCTAGTTTAAGCTTTTTCTGACATTTCAGCTACTATTTAGCTGTTTTGTGCTAATTTGAGCTTTTTCAGCTAATTCCACATTTGTTGCGCTCATTTAACTTTTTTCAGCCTAATTCAGCTAAACTGTGCTCTCTCCACTTCCTTCTGGTAAGTTCAGCTTCTTTCAGCCTTTGTAGCTACTTTTCAGCTGTTTTTTGCTCATTTCAGCTTTTGTTCCAGATAATTTCCACCTTTTTGTGCTAATTTCTATTTTCAGCAAACGTGTTCTTTCTGCTTTCTTCTGCAATTTAATCTTGTTCTAGCTGTTCAGCTTCCTTTTAGCATGTTTTTTTAGCTAATTTTGACTGTTTTTAGACAAACTCAAGTTATTTCTGCTATTTTCAGCCTAACAGCCTAATTAACTTATTTCTGCTAAATTCAGCTTGTTATGCCCCTTTCAGCTAATTTCAGCTTTTCAACTAATTCCAGTTTGTTTAAGCTCATTTCAGGTCTTTCTCATTCCTTCTGATAATTTAAGCTCCTTTCTGCCTTTCAGCTACTTTAAAATCATTTTTTTCTAATTTCAGCATTTTTTTGAGCTAATTTCCTAACTTTTGTGCTAATTTCTGCTTTTTTAAACCTATTTCAGCAAATACATGTTCTTTCTGCTTTCTTCTGCTAAAGTAGGGGGTTGTTCTATTTCAGCTACATTTCAGCATGTTTTTTTCATTAATTTCAGCTGTTTCTCAACAAGTTATTTTGCATTAAGCATTCACACTGCATTTCCGCAGAAAATTCAATTTCTCTAAAGTTGTTTTTGCACCTCAGAGCTACTAAAAACATGTAGAAGGAAAAAAAGGCAATTTTTGTCTGAAGAACCTATTTGTCTTAACCCATGTCTTATTTTTTTGCACTTCACATATAAGCTCCTTATTTGGGACATGCAGACTCTAACAGCGTGGGTTTTTCATTCACTTGGTGTTGCAACCACCCTGGGTCTTGTTAGTAAAACTTTAACCCCCAGTAACTGAACTAAATCTCTTCTTTCTAGTAGAACAACAACCCTGTATGAAATCAGTATGACAATATAAACTATGATCTTGTTTGAAAATACATGTTAGTAATGAAGGAAGGTAACTTAAGTGTTTTATAAGAGAATTCAAGCTTTTGTTAAAAATCCTGGACCCTAAATGACCTTTTCATGAATTTCTGTCTCCCCCTGTCTTCCTGTCTCTGAACACACACAGATGTGCGGAGATGCTCAAACACACACACTGTGGATTCTTTCAGATGTCTCTCTGCAGCTGCGTGGCTTGCAGGCACGACCGACATGAAGTGCTTGTTGAATTGTGGATTTCTCAACGGTGTGATCATCCAGGCATACATGCATGGAAGGGAAGGCCCAGTTCTTTACTCCAGGGTCCTCCCTCCCTCTCTGTTTTTTTTTTTTTTTTCACTGAGCCACATCTGCTGGCTACTGCTGTGAGTCTGGGATTATAACGGACAGCCCCATCTGGCTCCAGAGCGGTTTGATGCATTTCCCATTAAAAAAGGTTTCTTCCATTTCATTGACCAAACACACAGGCG